ATTTCAGTCGGTGTATGCTTAATTTCTAGTTGGTTCTTTATCACAACATCGAGGGTCTCATTAGATTTCTCGAGGATCTCATTAAGTTTATCGGCGGCTTCTAGACAGTTCTTGAGAGACCTTAAAAGTGTGGTTTTGAGCTCTATATCTTCCATTTCTGACATTTCTGTCCTGTTTCTTTGTCTCTGTATTTTTTTATCTTTTCTTGGTGCACCCCCTAGTGGTATTTGTTCGAAGTCTTGTTGTAGTTAAGCCTTGATTGATGTCGGGAATACCTGGGTTGATTTGACCTCCAGGCTAACTGGCTATCTGATAGAAGAGTTTAGACATGCCTGACATTTATAAAGTACTAGAAGCCTGGTGCATGGATTTGTGCCCCATTGGGGTCCCTCAGCCTGGCCTGCAGTATTGGGCTGAAACTGGCTCTCCAACATCCCCCAAGGGTCCCAAATTGCGAGAGGGCACAGGCCAGGCCAAGGGACCCCACAGGTGCTGATCGTGGCTGTGGAGGGACGCAGGAGGTTGCCCAGCAACGGAGGGACCGTGGGAGAATTCCAGGGCATGTCCAGCCTGTCTCGCTCTTTCCCAATTGGCTGACCCCAGCATCAAGCTAACCTACCAGTTGGAGCATCTGTCTCCTGGTGGTCAGTACCTGTAATAGCGACTGACTGGTCGACTGTCTGCCCCTACTGGTCAGTGCATGTCATAGCGAGTGGTTGAGCTTCCTTAGCATATCATTAGCATATTACCCTTTGATTGGTTGAATGGACAACCAGGCATTTAGCATATTAGGCTCTTATTGTATAGTATACTCCTTTACCTTATCTAGAAAGATAGTAAAAGAAGTAAGTCTTCTGAATCATTAGCAGATCTATATGTTCTCATGTGTGTGTATCTGTGTGTATCTAAAAGGTGCTTTCATTTCTAAAAATTTATCTAACCCTCTTTGTTTTTAAAGGACATTGATTTTAGGGAGGAAGTCTTACTTCATAGCTCCAATTTGAAAATATTAAAACTTGCATTCTGAAAGCACTTTGCATCTTATAGAATGCTTTTCATACATTCAATTTGATCCTTGCAAATTCTACTGAGATGGACATGATTTCTGTTGTCTCCAAAATATGCTTCAATGACAGTGCTCATATTGTGCTGTATTTTTTTAATAAAATATTTTAAGTACATACAAATGTAGAGAATTATATCCTAAGCACATTAACACACTGCGGACCAGTAGTTTCATTGCCAGCTTCACCCAGTGGCCAGATAAGCTTCTATTGAACGAGTACAAAAAACATTTTACATCAATGTTAAAGGCACGCTTTCAAATTAAACACCTATTGCATTTTGAAGTTATTTATTACATGTTCTTACAAACTAATATCTTTTTAAAGTATGATACTTTGTAAAACACTCTGTAATAGGAAGTGAGAATTCTCATGATCTGTCCACAATGTCTTACTGTTATCTTTCCTAAAAACGTCATGACTAGTCATCCTTAATAGTAAATACTTTATAATTTTTAAATTCTGGGTATAATTGATGTTCATATTTCTCTTTGTCTCATAAATATCATACCATTTGTCTCTCAGTTATATTTTTTTTAATTAAATCTTTATTGTTTAGATTATTACAGTTGTTCCTCTTTCCCCCCCCCATAGCTCTCCTCAACTCAGTTCCCACTCCACACTCTGCCAATAACCCCGCCCCCCCACTGTCCTCATCCGTAGGTGTACAATTTTTATCCAGTCTTTTACCGCACCCCCCACACCCCTTTCCCCCCAAGAATTTTCAGTCTACTCCCTTTCTATGCCCCTGGTTCTATTATATTCACCAGTTTACTCTGTTCATCAGATTTTTTATTCACTTGATTTTTAGATTCACTTGTTGATAGATATGTATTTGCTGTTCACAATTTTTATCTTTACCTTTTTCTTCTTCCTCTTCTTAAAGAATACCTTGCAGCATTTCAAATCTTTGACTTGATTCTTGGGATCCTCTTGTCTGCTGTGTGTTTATATATGCCGCCATCTTAGTTTCTCCCTTTTATGTTACTCTTTATTTCAGTCAGTGTATGCTTAATTTCTGATTGGTCCTTTTCCCCTTTTTTTTGGCATTCTCACTAAGATTTTTGAAAGTTTCACTAAGTTCCTCGGAGGTTTCTAGAAGATTCCTGAGTAACCTTGTAACCGTGGTTTTGAATTCTATATCAGTAGTTTGCTTTCTTCCATTTCTTTCATTTGTGACATATCTTTGTCTCCACATTTTAGCTGTGTCCCCGTGTTTGTTTCTATGTATTGGGTAGCTGTTAAGTCTCCTTGAGTTGATAGAGTGGCCTTGTGTGGTAGGTATCCTATAGAGCCCAGTGGCTCAGCCTCCCCAATAACCTGAGGTGGACACTCTTGGTGTACCCCTTTGTGGGCTTTGTGCACATAAGCCTTGATTGTTGTAGGTGTTACTGGGAGGAATTGACCTCCAGGCCAATTGGCTGTGAGAATCAGCTATGTATTTTTATTATTTATTTTATATATTTAAATGCCATTTAACTAAGAAAAATCATCCAAGAAAATGAGTTCACGTGTCGCCATCACTGGCCGGTTTCTTGGTGTACCCCTTTGTGGGCTTTGTGCACATAAGCCTTGATTGTTGTAGGTGTTACTGGGAGGAATTGACCTCCAGGCCAATTGGCTGTGAGAATCAGCTATGTATTTTTATTATTTATTTTATATATTTAAATGCCATTTAACTAAGAAAAATCATCCAAGAAAATGAGTTCACGTGTCGCCATCACTGGCCGGTTTTAATGATAAGACCTTTTTTTGCTCCTCCTTTTCTTGCTCTATTCCATGTAGTTGCACAAAATGAATACATCTTTGAAGCCAGCACCCAGAAAGAAAGAACCTTATCAACCTGTCAGTAGCTCTCCCATCTCATGGTTCCTTCAGGTTAAACACACACCTCACCCCTACTTTCAACTGCATTGAGTTGTTTGCTGATTCTAAGTTATGCATAAATGGAATCATACAATGTGTTCTTTTTTGTGTCTGGTTTCTCTTGCTCAAGTTTACGTTTGAAGTCATCCATTTTGTGTGTTCGTAGGTCACTGTTTTCATTACGGCCTGGTTTTTATCCTACTGTTGATGGGCATTTCACTAATTTTCAGTATGTGCTTCTGCAAACTTTCTTATCAATAGTGCTACTGGAACTTCCCAGTGCTTGTCTTTTGGGGCATATACTGTACATATTTCTGTTTGACTGGAATGGTTGAGTCAGTTGTTACATTTAGCTCCAGTATACAGGTTGGCAAACTCCATAAAGAGCCACATAATAAATATTTTAGGCTTTGTGAGCCAAATGATCTCTGAATCAAGTACTCAACTCTGTCAAAACCATTCTCAGCCCTTGGGGTGTATGAAAACAGGACACCACCAAATTTGGCTTGTGAGCTCTGGTTTGATGCCTTCCATTCTAATAGATACTTGAATAGAGTGCTTCAAAGTGGTTATACTGATGTGTACTCCCACTAGGCAGTTCTGATAACTCTGCATCCTGCCAACACTTAGCATTTTATTTTTCCACTTTCGCCATTCTATGATTGTGTGTTGGTTGCCTCTAGGTTTGTTTTATATTGTATTTCTTTGATGAACTGAATTATTGTAAACTAAAGGCCTGTTGCACGAAGATTCGCGCAATAGGCCTTCCTTCCCCTGGCTGCCAGCACCAGTTTCCTCCAGCACCCGGGACCCAGGCCTTTGGTCTGGCCACAGCTTGCCTTCTCCTCTCTGGCCGTGGCAGTGAGGCTTGGCTTCTCCGCTCCGGCCGCGGCAGCGAGACTTGCCTTCTCCGCTCCCGCTGAAGCAGCGAGACTTGCCTTCTCCGCTCCGGCTGAAGCAGCGAGGCTTGGCTTCTCCGCTCCGGCCGCGGCAGCGAGACTTGCCTTCTCCGCTCTCGCTGAAGCAGCGAGGCTTGCCTTCTCCGCTCCGGCCGAAGCAGCGAGGCTTGCTTTCTCCGCTCCGGCCGAAGCAGCGAGGCTTGCTTTCTCCGCTCCGGCCGAAGCAGCGAGGCTTGCTTTCTTCACTCCGGCCGCAACAGCAAGGCTTGGCTTCTCCGCTTCCACCACAGTGGAGAAGCCATGCTTCATCAGTCTTCAGTCTCTGCGCAGGCTGGAGCCTTCAGTCTTTGCTCCACGCCTGCATATGCAAATTAATCTGCAATCTTTGTTGCGATAATTTGCATGCTCATCCTGATTGGCTAGTGGGTGTAGTGGAGTGATGACCAATTTACATATTTCTCTTTTATTAGTGTAGATGAGTCCAAGTTCCTATTCTTTGCCACACAACAGCCAGTGAGTTGAGTGATAACGTGATAGAGCAAGGAAGTGACTTCATTCAGATAGCCAGCAGCCAACAAGATGACAGTCTAGCATCCTAAAAAAATCATCTCAAGAAAGTACAGAATTCAGCCTTTTGTGTCAAGGGAAAAGGAAGACAGGAGGGCAAAGAGGTGATTAACAACTGCAGGCATTTGAACACCAGCATAGGTCCAAGGAAGCTTGTAAAACTTCCTTCTTCTTGATGTATTGACTCTAATTTATGTGAGTCCATTCAAATCTTTGATAATTTTTGTACATACCTCCTTTATCTCCTTGGGAGCCTGGAGCAGAATTTTCCAATGATTAGCATTTCTATTTTCAAAACTAAACAGAAGCTGTAAGGCCCTGGGGACAAAGCAGGCTTAAACAAATGGAGTCAGAGAGACCAACTTTTCACTCTGTTAAAATTTTGGTGTGTTATGCCCTAGCCGGTTTCGCTCAGTGGATAGAGCGTCAGCCTGCGGAATCAAGGGTTTCAGGTTCGATTCTGGTCAAGGGCATGTACCTTGGTTGCGGGCACATACCCAGTAGGGAGTGTGCAGAAGGCAGCTGATCGATGTTTCTCTCTCATCGATGTTTCAAACTCTCTATCCCTCTCCCTTCCTCTCTGTAAAAAATCAATAATATATATTTAAAAAAATTTTTTTTTGGTGTGTTATAAGTTCTTCATGTATACGGTGTTTCAGAATGACTCATACTTAGATTTTTTAATAAAAATAACTTTTCCTAAACAGTTATTTTGTTGGTGTGTTGATCGCAAATCAGCTAGCTGGACAAGACACCTAATGAGCCAATTAGTTAGGAGTCATCTTTATTGCGTGCAGGTTCAGAGCAGATTACTACCTTTGTCAAATTCTGAACACCCAAAGGAGGAAGTATTTTCTTTTTATATTCTTTTAGGTCCTTGTGTAAATTATTTTCACAGACAATTTGTAACCTTGAATATATATCATATCTAACAAACACCTGTCATATCTATACAGACAATTTTGTAATCTTGAGTACATATCTATATAGATACCTGTAACCTTGGATGAACAAACACTTGGCATGAGAATATGAGAATTAGTATCAGTACTAGTAGCCTGGTGCACGAAATTCTTGCACTGGGGTGAGGGGGGCGGGCGGGGAAGGAGCCCCTCAGTCTAGCCTGTACCCTCTCCAATCCGGGACCCCTTAGGGAATGTCCGATTGCCGGTTTGTGCCTGCACTTTTAACTGCCTACCTGACTGCCCCTAACTATTCGCCTGCCTGCCTGATCATCCCAACCACTCAACTGCCTTCCTGATCGCCCCTCACCATTTCTGCCTGCCTGCCTGATTGCCCCTAATCACTCACCTGCTGCCTGATTGCCCCTAACCACTCATCCTGCCTGATCACCCCAACCACTCACCTGCCTGCCTGATTGCCCCTAACCACCTCTGCTCTATCCACTGAGCCAAACCAGCCAGGCCTGTGCCTGCACTTTTAACAGATAACAGCTCCATTGTTTCTTTCTTCTCATGCTTAAACCCATTGGAATTAGTAGGCATTCAAAGTGTGTATACATTTTGGGGGGACACCCTGTATATCTCTCTAGTCAGCGGTGAAAGGAAGCAATGCGGATTTGGAACCCCCAGACAGGGAACCTCGCTCACTCCCCACATGTCTCCCCCCTTCACTTTCCACTTTCGCCGGCAGCGGGAGAATCAATGTTTTCTCTCTAACTCGGAAAAGCACGTCCTGTCACCCGCTGCCCGGCAGAAGTGCGCTAGGCCCCAAGCAAAGAAGGCTCAGTCAGGGCAGTCTTCGCTCATGGGTGCCGGCACCCAAAATGCACATTCCTCCTCTGCAGTCACCCCAACTATCCCTCTGTTTCATTGAGAGAGCGGAACTCCTCGCCACCTCTGGGTTCTTAATCTTGAACGCTGACTGAAGGCACCTCAGCTAGGGCCACCCACACCCTCCAGGTGTGTCTGTCTGCACCTGTTCCTGCCTCAGCACCTGCATTAGCCCCACAGAGGTGATCTCGTCACTGCACTGGCCTCTGCAGAAACAGGGCATCAGCACTCTGCCCTCTCACTGTCATCTCACAGGCACCAACCCTCATTACCCAGAACACCCAGACTCTCCCCAAAGGACATGAGCATGTTGGAGGGGACGTGTGCACTTCCTGTGGGGGACTTAGGCATGCTGGGTTTGATGGAAGTGCTGCAGAGGGGCGGGGGGAACTTGTGTGCGCCTTGGTCTGCAACTGTTGAAAGCGTACAAGGGTGACAGTGTGCTGGGGGATGTTCGCATGCCAGGAGGGGAGGAGAGGATGTGTGCACCGGAGGCCTGTGGTTTCACAGATCTGCAAACCCCCGTGGCACAGCCAGGAGGGTGTCAATCTGGCCCACCGTGGTGGCTGTCCCTGCAATTGAACGCCTTCTGGGCCAGGAGGCGGGACTTGTGCAGCCACTCGGTGCTGATGTCATGCAGGCGCTATTTCAGCTCGACCCTCAGGCTCTGCTTGGCACGCTCACAGCTGCCACCGCAGCCATGTGGGGAGTACAGGCCGCTCTCCACCGGCCCGTCTCCTCTGCCCAGAGGCTCTCAGCATGCTGCCCACAGGCCCAGAGCGGCCTGCGTGGGGCAGGACGCCAGCGGGCACTGCTCACCTGCCTGAAGTGACCGGGGCTGGGCGGAAGCCAGGTGTCCTGCCCCACACGACCACTCCTTGCCTCCACATGCTGCGCACCAACCTGGAGCAGCCAGGGCTGGGCGGAAGCCAGGCGTCCTGCCCCTCCCAACCCCCGGCCGCTTCACCCCTGTGCATGCTGCCCACTGGCCTGGATGAGCCAGGGCGGGGCAGTGTGGGACTTCTGCCCCCAGCAGCTCGGTGCCTGTGCACATGCGTGCTGCCCACAGGTCCGCCATCTTTGTCAGGTTAATTTGCATATCACTCTGATCAAATGGTGGGCGTGGCTTGAGCTTGGGAGGGATGGCTAATTTGCATGTTTCTCTTTTATTATTAGAGATCAGTGAATCAGCCCCTTTAAAATATATATTTTATTGATTTTTTACAGAGAGGAAGAGAGAGGGATAGAAAGTTAGAAACATCGATGAGAGAGAAACATCTATCAGCTGCCTCCTGCACACCTCCTACTGGGGATGTACCCGTAAGGATCAAAGTTGATCTTGTCAGTGAAGATACCGGCCTAGGACATAACTGCCCACCATAACTGCTTTTAGTTAAGGTTTAATTTCAGACCATTCTTTGTGGTTACTTTAGGTCTCCGAGTCTGCAAAACTGCCATGCAGGCCTCTCCTGAGCTTGTCAGGTCAGCATGTGGCCCCTTTCGTCCACACAAGGTTGACTCCCAGGGCCTGGGGGCATACAACTCCCAGCCAGGTCAGAAAGTCCTTTCTTTAACCAACACAAGGCAACAGAGCATGATTAATATTTCCCATAACCAGAGCTAGTCCCCAATATTCTATTTTTGCCCCTAACATAAGTACTTGTGTAATACATTGCCTTATGACCTTAGGGAACCTAAGGCATCATTAGCCTAGTCCAGTGATGGTGAACCTATGACACGCGTGTCAGAGGTGACACGTGAACTCATTATTTTTGTTGATTTTTCTTTGTTAAATGGCATTTAAATATATAAAATAAATATCAAAAATATAAATCTTTGTTTTACTATGGTTGCAAATCAAATATCAAAAAATTTCTATATGTGACACAGCACCAGAGTTAAGTTAGGGTTTTTCAAAATGCTGACACGCCGAGCTCAAAAGGTTCGTTATCACTGGCCTAGTCTATAGCAATTTTTCAGCTCCATTGTAATCTTAAGGGATCACCACCATATCTTCAGTCCATTGATCTTAATGTCATTATGCAATGTGTAATTGTTAAAACTTTTAAAGTATACTAAAAAATATATTTGGAATTTCTTGATTTATATATTTTTTATAAATGTGGCAAATGTTTTTTTAAAAGCTCAATTTATTCTGAAAATCTTTTATTCTTTAGGATTATTTTCTTTTTCTTCAATGTTTGTTATTATGGATTTTTAAAAAAAATACTTTGTCTCATTTTATTTGAGGACGTTCAAGATCCTTCAATATTTGTTACCTTTCCTTTGGAGGAAGACGAAAATATATCTTTGGTTGCTTGGACAACCACTCCCTGGACTCTGCCTAGTAACCTTGCCCTCTGTGTTAATCCGGATATGCAGTATGTAAAGATTAAAGGTAAGTGTGAGCTTGGTGACTTATGATTAATATGGATATGATAATTGTTAACATTTTGGGAA